TTTTTGGTGGGGACGGGGCAGGATGAGCTTGCAGAGTTTTACTGGATTTTCTCCTTCCTTTCTGAGGAGCTACCGCTGCTGAAGCAGATTTTTCCTTCCTTTCTTTTTGTCTGATGTAGAATCCTAGTAGCTAGGCAGCCTCCCTCTTTTCTTCCTTCTACCCCTTCAGTATGTAGGAAGGGAGAGACATCAATGGAAAGGCCGAAATACATGTAGATGGACTTTCAAATGCTTTTTTCTTTTTTTTTTTTGGAAAGAGGAAGATAGAGCCTACTTGCCACCGACTTTTTTGTTGCTGTTGCACTGCTTTGTAAAAATGGGGTTTGCTTACTCCAGCTGAATCCTCTCAGTGTTTTAGCGAGTTGCTACAGTGGAGGACTTCTCATATTTTTTGCATCAGAGGAGCTACATTGATGCTAACCTTTTTTTTGTAAAATGGAGAGCGAAATATTCACACCCCTTTTGGAGCAGTTCATGTCTAGCCCTCTTGTCACCTGGGTAAGCATTAATTTTTCTTTACACGTTATTCTTGTATTTGCTTGTTGTTTGAGGATAAATGCCTTGCTGCACAGAAGAGGATGGAATTTGTGTCACAGTGTTGATGATTATATTTTAGGTTAAGACATTTGGACCGTTAGCTGGAGGAAATGGGACCAACCTGGAGGAATATGTGGCGCTAGTGGATGGCGTGTTTCTGAACGAAGTCATGCTGCAAATGTGAGTGTACTCGAGTTGTGTGTTGGATTTGGTTATTACTGTTGTCTTCCCTTCTGTATTTTACTTTCTTAGGAAAGCTCTTCTTACCTTCAATAACAATGTTAGTAAAAATGTCTTCTTTATTTTATGCTTGAAGTAGTCTTGTGGCTTAAAGCATTCCAGATACTCTTTATTTGTTTGCAGTACAGTATTTTTAATGCCAAAATGATGTATTTGCAGGAGGTATACGGTAATACAGGCAAAGTCATATCTAGAACTTACTGGAAAATTGCGCTTGAATCACTGTAAATGCAGTTTCCCAGATTTCCATTTAGAAGCATAAAGGTTCGTTCTACTGTAAGTCGCAGTCATAAACCAAATTTCTAAGCAAATTGCTTGGTTAATAAGATTCTAATGCATATCTTAGTTCATATGGTATACAACTTAAGGATAGTATGTCAGTCAGCGTAATGTTGTCTACTAACCAAATGGGCTGTTCTGTAATTCTTTTCGCTTTGTTTTTCACAGTGCCAAGTTTGAGTAAATAGAAGTTGTGTAGTAAAGCTGAAGTGTTATTTGATAGTGTAGAATGTTTTTTGGGTTGCAAACCACAGAAGAAACCTTTTTACATGTTTTCTACAAGTGTTTATTGAAAGCTGTGATTGGTAGAAAGCTTGCTATGTAATTTTATTGATGTAAGATATTACAAGCTATGTATTTATATGTAATTTAGAAGGCAGGTAGATCAAGAAGTTCCAGTCATAGAAATACAGAAATAGTCAACTGTGTGTTGTATTGTGTGTGTTTTTTTTTTAATCATAGTTTTGACTGGAATGTTGCCCACTACTGTAATGCTAGCGAATAACACTTTTGTCAAGTGCATAGCAATATAATCATAAAACTGCTACCCGTGGAAGAAAGATCTCAATTTTTTCCAGTATTTTAGATCTATACAGAGAAGTACATCTTTTCTTTGCATAGCTATGAGTAAGTGTAGGCTTATGAATGGCTTGATAAATAACGCCAATGTGTGAGCAGCTCGTAATGACAGCTGTTACACTGCTCAGTGATAGGCATCCTTGTACTGTGTTCATAGTTTTTACTTCAATTTTTTTTTTTTTTGCTGTTGGTGTTTGGCATGTTTAACTAATCTATGTAAAAGCTCTGCTCACCACATTTAAGACTGAATTCTCATTCTTTAAAACCAGTATCTTGTCACCAACTTCTGTGCGTATAAATTCCAAGTACTCGTTTTCTGTTGTTCTGAGAAACATGGAAAACTTGGAGTAGAAATTTCCGTAAGAAATCTTGAACTTGAGTGTATTTCTGGCATATTTTTGTAAAAAGAATTGTAAGTGATGCATTCACAGAAACCCTATTTTTATTCTACAGCTTAAATGTCTTTACTTGGTTTAGGTATAAACTAGGTGTAGAACTTTCATTCAGTAAAAACATTGGATAGCTGGAAGCGAAGGCCTAATTTAGAATTGGGACAAGGTGATTTTGAAAAATGCAATCTTGAAATTAAACTCTCTCAGCAAGTTTTTGCAGTATTAAGAAAGAGTATAACCTGATTAATACGTATATGGGAAGTCTGCTGCCTTTGAAAACGTAACTCAAATGGAAAGTTGTAGTGAGGGAATATTCCCATGCTTCGAGCGCTGTGTTTTGAATTTGACTTTAACTTTGTGTGTGCATCTTTGGCCCCATTCCCCGGAGTACTACAGTTTATTTAGGAAGAGTTATGTGCGTACACATAAAATAAATACACATTGAAGATGTGAATTTAAGAGTTTGGTTGTCAGGTCAATTTGAAACTGTCTTAATTTAGAAATATACGTAAATATATTTCACAATTATGTAACCGCACTGGAAGTTATATTTTTATCTAAAATACATTTTTGGGGATCTAAAATGTGTTATGATTGATTGCTATTTAGAATTAAAGTTTCCAGGACAGCTTTCTTATTTGGAAGCAGGAGGGGTTGTTTTTGTTTTTTGTTTTTCTTGCCAAGATTGAAAGGGGAAAAATGTCTTACACTTTGAAGACTTACTAAGTTTCTGTGGAAGTCACTGTGGGAACCTGTGTTAACTTCTAGGATCTAGATCCATTCACATTGAATATCCACCTATTAAACATCTCATTTCATTTTTCAAAAACATTTAAAAGCTATAACTTAAAGCATTAATATCACTTACTTTTGGTATTTTCTATTTTAGTCATATTTCTTTCATACAGTCTTAACTACCATGTATTGAGGAAATGTGGCAGAAAAATTTGTATCATGATTTACACTTTTTTTTTTGCTCTTTTCTAAGTTATCAGTGACTTCACATTAGTATTAGGAATCTGTATGACAGCATACAGATTCCTCAAAACATAGCTCTGTTATGAGCTATGGTGCTCTTAGGAGCTCTAAAGAAATGAAGTCCTGTTCTTGCAGGAGTCATGAGGAACACCATTTGTACATACATGTGAAAAGCACCAGTAGAAATTGCCTTTTAAATGAGTTGTGTTACAAAGTACTTATTATTTATAGTAGTATTGAAATATTTGAGGCTGTTAATGTTTTAGTGTGAGAATACAGCTAGTGAGTACCTGTCAGCTAAGAAGTTTGTCTTTGTGTTATTTTTGGATGGAGGTTGATTTCTAGGGTTGGAAAATCATTGCAACATTAGATATTTTTAAGGGAGTTGAAAGTATGAACAAGCGGAAGCTGTTAGAGCTGTTGTGATCCAGCTGCCCTTCTACTTTAATACATATTTTATTCTTGCCAGATTTTTTAAGAACAAATGCTGTGACCATAAAAGTCAGTGTTAGTATTGGGATTAGGCATGTTTTGTAGACAGTTTTACAGTCCAAAATGAGGTCTTGTTACCTATAGACGTCGTCTTTGTTCTGTGTTAAAAGAAGAGTGAATCCTACCGTGCATTAGCTGCAAGTGAGAGTTTGTTAGTATGTCATTTACTACTTTTGCTTGTGTGGACCAAATTTATTTTCAACAGTGGTAATGATTCAGACAGAGGAAACAGATGTCAGTGTTGGAATAGTAGGATAGTAGGTACTGAGATGGTTGTGTGTGTGTTTTGTTGTTGTTTTGGTTTTATTAAAATCAGGTTTGACTTTCTTCGTACAGAATCCATCAGAAAAGAAAAACTAATCTGCTATGTTCTGTATATTTCTTCAGCTGTTGACTTTTTGGAAGGGAAATTAAGTGGATTCCATTTAGCGCTGAATTACACGTGAAGACCTTTTGCTATATTGGAGATGCCACCGTCAGTTTCCTTCTTTTTTTACTTAAGAAGAGTTCCATTGTTAGAGTATTTGATCCTAACTTGAGAGATTGTCTCTCATTTTCTGTTTAAATTTAGATGCTGTTCTTCAAAAGTACTTTGTTACCTGCCTTCTACCAGGACCAGTCAGCATCCATACCTATGGGTAGATACGAACCTTCACCTTTGTTCTTTGGTATGCAAAAGGGTTATGTTTTTTGTGCAGTAAGTCAAAAGCCAACAGGTAGCTGCAATAGGGTTGTGCCATGGCAGGGAGATGGGGAAACATGCCAGGCATGCTCCATAACTTTACTATACCTGTATATCAAAATGCTCTTAATATTATGAAGTGAGTATTTTTTTATTTTCATTTGTAGTAAGTCCTGTTCTGATATTTATTAATTGAATTCCAATAGGATTGTGTAAGAAATGCATGAGTTGTTACAAACGTCTTGTAGTATAAACTGTTTGGCTCCGCAGCAGACAGACTTGCTAGTTTCTTGAGTAAAAATACACATCTGCAAGTAATTATAAGATTGGGACTTTTTATTACATTTAGCACCACCGTTAATATTTGGTCATGTAATAAAGACAACTGTATTTTGATTTTAGCAGTTCTGTTTTACTGTGCTTTCCATTTGTGGAAATGGATCTGTTTCAAAGTAACTATGGGACAAATACCATATGATGAATCGCCATGTGTAGAGCCACCTTCTGAAACTAAATTGACATATTCCATTTTATTGGGAACCTGTCTGCTTTCATCTTTGTATTCCACTCATAACTTTTGTCTTAATTGAATATATTCACCAGTGCTATCTATTATTTATTTTTGTCAAAACATACTGAAAATTATTTTAAAGGATGAAATGTTTTAGTTTTTTCCGATTTGTTCTCCCTTTTGCTCTTTTCCCTACTGTTTTCCATTGACTGGATCCACATGCAGGCCTTTCATGCCCATAGAATTTTCCAGGTGGACCAGCTGGCGGTTTCCTTCCACCACTCTGTTGGCGTGTGCCTAGAATGCGTAGCCTGCTTCATTAACTCCTTTTCTGAGCTCTTAGTCTTCAGTTGTATACTTTTTTTCCAAACAGCTGAGCTTGCCAGCCCATACTTCTGGCTTGCCTATATCTTTTCCTGAAAACTGGACTCCATCTCCAGCGCTTCTGCCAGCCGCCTAGCCCTGAAAGACTAGAGGGAACATGCACTCTAGTCCCATTAACTCTTTCTTGTGCAGAAGACCAAAGAGCAAGAGGCAGCGTCATTCAGGTTCTAGCTGGGCAGGAAAATGGAAAAATGTACTGGGGAAAATAAAATTGGTGAGTTTGGCATCAAGAGTACTAGCATAGGATATATTAGAAAAGTATCAAGTACTATGAATACCCTTCTCACTTTGAAATGAATGGATCTGATTCACACTTTTCAGACTTGCTGCTTCAGGCTCCCACAGATGCTAGTAGATGCCACTAATGGTTTGAGAGAGTTCTTAAAATTCATTTTGCAACTGTAGGGCAGAATTTTTGTTAATGAAAGCTGAATTTATAATATGCAGTTTTTGTGTAAAGAAGCGAATTCTTTAATGAATGGCCCAATAGAATGTGCACCATGGTCAAGATTGTTGGAATTCAAACCCTTTGATTATAAAAATCAGAGGATGTCTGCCTGAAGTGAGCTTTGAATTGGGCTAGTGAGGTAAATGTACTTCTGCGAGGTGCTTGGTTTTTTTTTTTTTTTTTTTTTGATAGTGA